TGTAGTTTGTAATGGAAATATAAGTTTTAGTTTGTAAGTTTTAGGGGTGAGAGTAATAATATGTAGTTAGTATATATCTTGATTCAGAAAAAACATATTTGAACTTGATGTGGAATAGTATTGCCGGCAAAAATTGTCTTGTTTTTTACGGTATGTACAGAGTATGTGAACAACTGTAGGGCGGACGCCTCGGTCTGTATGATTGAATAGACTCTTATCGATAGGTACTTAACTCGCGGCCAATATATATGACAATTGTCCAGCCATTTGTCACTCATTTTTTCATATTAATCGTAAGATGTGTTAATTGGTGCCAGTATTTCAACGGATCCAACATTTGTACATCAAAATAGTCGGATATTTTTAAATGTAATCGTTTTAAGCGAGGATAACATCTCAACGAATCAAACAATTGGCCTTTCAGTCGGAAATCATAATAACTCACAAATACTGCCAAACATTTCAATTGTTTACAGTTTAAGCCAATTGTACGCAAAGACTCGGACAATGAGTTCTCGCCATATTTGGCACTCAAATCGAGTGTTAATTCCCGTAATTGCGTTAATTGTGACAATTGTGCCGACAATTCAATTAAACTCTCGTTAATATTGTAACTTTGATTTTTTACGTAAACACTTTTGAGTGATTGATTTTGTGCCACAAATGCGGACAACAGTTCCTTATCATCGTTTGATCTGTAAGTAAACTCAAATTTATGCAAATTATTGACTAACATCTGACGGGAACATATGTCATAGATGGTCGACAAATAGCCAATATGCAAATAAGTCAAACGGTGGCAATAAATGAGTATGCTCTTTTTACTATCGCTCACTGAATGAATACGCGTGATCAGTGAGGCCAAAGTTGGCAGTAGAACATCGGTGTTTAAATATAAATTATAATATATTTGCTTCAACTGTAAACTATTGTCTCGAAATAATGGCAAAACCTCGTAAATTATTCCTCCATATTTGTGTATCAAATCTCGACAGTCAATGGTCTGAATGTTTGGACACTTTTTGACAATTGTGGCAAACAATGTGCTTATTATCGCCCGTTTTGGCCACGTTTTAATTATCAGTTTGTTATTAATATTGATGTCGACACAACTCTCGAAGACTGTCCTCTGGAACTGTTTGGACACACATTCGCAGCGAAACCGATCCTCGAGTGACAGATGAGACAATAGAAGAGCACACAAGTCATCGCCGAATCTGTCCATTGAGTCCTTCGCATATATTTGCGGCTAATTTGTGAACCATTTAACAATTAAATCATAATTGAACAATAAATTATTGTAAAATACCTGTGGGTTATCTTCTTTTGTGCCATCATCTATGCTCGCGAGTGCTATCTTCAGGTCTTCCATCTGTTCAGCCATTTTTGTGATTAATTAAAATTGATAATTTAATTAATAATATATACTGTAAGTATTTTTGGTATAAAATGCAAAATGGCACAAAAATGTGATAATATTTGAAACGATACGCAAATTAAGTTAAAACCTACGTATATATAATTATGGAGTTTATATAAATATATAATTTTATTGAAAAATTGTTATACTTTAGACTTTAACTACCGGAAATACAAACTGATAAGTGTATTTCATACAAACTTAAAACTTTTTAGTGTGTTTTATATGAAGTTTCAAACATTGTAAGATATTTCTAATTACAATTTCATGTAAAAATTGTAGTAAAGACCATTCTGCACAAATTTTAAGAAGGATTGTTTTATCTGATAATATAATTGTTTTTTATAATAATTATTAATAATAGATAATAATATTTATGTAAAGTTCTTTACACAACAAATCTAAGTATTTGCATAATAAATCCTATTCAAGTGAATTAAAAATATTTACATTAATAATGTATAATTGTTAGTATACTAAACTAATATGTTGACATTGTAAATTTTCATTTCAGTTCAATTTCAACGTAAGGACAAAGGGCTGGCAAATTTCCTAGGGTGCGTCAAGCGCAGAATTCAAAGTTTTACGATCAGTAATTTTTCTAAAAGTGTTAGTTAAAAGTTTATTAAATAGTTAACAAATAACAGATATTAGGTAAATTATAACAAGCAATTCATTGAGATGTCAGCCATAGGTTCGGGTGGTTTTGGGACTGTATTTAAAGTGAAGCATAGATTGGATGATAAGATATATGCCGTTAAGAGACTCCAATTTGTGGGTAAATATAATTATTTGTTTGCAATCATATATAAAATTAAATAAATTTGTTATAAAATATTTTCATAGATTTAACTGAAGATATCATAGAATAGAAAAGTTGTAAAAGAAGTTAAAAGTTTGGCAAAACTAGACTCAGAATTTGTGGTCAAATATTACAACTCATGGCTTGAGTCCAATCATCTCTACATTCAAACTGAGTTTTGTCCTCAAAGTCTTAAATCTCTTTTCAGAGACAAACCCATTGTCTTCGGGAGACAACCGGAAGACGAGATGAATGTCTTCGAGTATTTCATTTCATGTGATACGCTCGGCGCCCAACCCTATCAGGGCTACAGCAATGAGTTGGTGCTTAAGAACGTGATCAAAGGCATGCGCCTCCCGGAGCCCGAGAACTGTCCCCGAAAGCTGTTAGTAGTCTTGTTTTATATCACTTCCGTTGTGGTGATAATTATTGTCTTTTTATGTCCAATCAGTTGGCGAATAATGCAATTCTGTTGGCGCCGACACCCGAAGGCCAGGCCCTCGTTCACGGAGATCACGGAATACCTGCTGCCGCTGTCGAACCAGTCGTTCAAAGAGAAGTGCTATTACCTGAACAACAGCACCATTAAGACGTTCGGCAGCAGTGGTGTGAAGCGGCCCAAAAAGTCGTGGTACGCGTGGATGACTACCAATCGGCTGATACTCAACGATCTGAAACCGGGCGCTGAGATGATCGACGACACCACCCAATACTGCCCAATGAGTCCAGTGATGGACGACAGCGTCGGCACCGGTTGTGGCGGCGACGATAAGGACGACCAGAGGGACAGCGGTTTGGTCGCCGATATGCGGACAACCGGTGACGAGCTGTCGGAACAACACATTAAGTTTCTCAACAAATTGAACGAAGAGAAGACTCTGGAGGTCGACGTGTCGGACGACTC